GAAAACAGCTACACATGCCTGCCTTAGTCACTCTCATTAGACCATGTTAAAGTGCTTTTCACCATATCTTCTTACTATACTTCAAATAGTTATGCTCATAGAGGAAAGAGTCTCATTATTGCTAATTTTTTATATGTATGTGAATATGGAATGATCTAGTATCTTTCTGTAAGATCTTTGAGCTTAGTCATTTAGCCAACAATGCAGCAAGGTAAGTTATAGTTATATAAAAACTATCCAGGGTCAACTATTTATATAAATAAAAGAATCTGTTAGCAGTTTTTATATTTAAATGAAATTTGAATGCTTTGCAGGTTTTTTATGTAATAATGCTATGGATCCTAGCAGGTTTAAACAGACTATAAACTTCTTGAGAAAAAGAAAAATACCACCAAGCCATGCACTCAGGAAAATGAGAATAGGATCATTATAATCTATAGAGTTCAGAAGGCTGGTTTGGAAGAAGAAAAGATTGCAGCTGGGCCTTAGAGTAAAAAGGCAGAGAGCAAGCAATGGAAATGGGCATTCCTGGAAGTGAGACATGACAAATAGAGAAACAGTAGTGAGAAAAATTCAGGAACATGGTGAAAATAGACCATAAAACAGCTACTGTTTTAATATTTTAAAATTAAAAAATATTATTTTTTATTTAAAAAAAATAACGGGGAATCAATTAGTCACCTTTCAAGGATCCTAATTGCTATACTTGAACTCCATCCAGAGAGAAAATCATTGAGTATTTTCTGACAAAGGAGTGGTATACATTGTCATATTTAAGGAAAAACAGCTAGCAGAAATGTGTAGGGCAAATTGGAAGATGGATGGGGAGGCTAGTTTGAAGACCATTTCAATAATTTAGATCTAGGAAGCCGAGAGCCCAGAATAAGATAGGGAGAGTGAAAAGAAATGGATGAGCATGAAGTAGGATGTGAAAAAATTAGTTAAGATAACTTAGTCGCTACAGTAAATATCAGAGGAAGACTAAAGATCTTTAGACTCATTGCTCTTAGTTATGCTGTGCTTTTAATTTTATTTGTAGGCACTTTAAATTATTGCTCTTGAAACTTCTAAGTTGATTTTAAATAAAGAAAATTAGGTTAGGTTACAGATAATTTAATTTTTGCTATTGACAGAAAGGTAAACTGTTTTAAATATGTGACAAATTAAGTAGATTCATAAATACATATAAGATTTGGACAATAGAGAGGTTGAATTTAATATACATACATGTGTATAGGTGGATAAATAACCTTTCTGGTGTTCTTTGAATTGCTATAAAAATCAATTATATCATGAATAGAAGAAAACTCTCTTAACTACCACACAGTGAAATTAAAAAGTCTACACACTTAAAAAGCACTTTTCTAAATGACCACAGGGTCATAGGAATTATGGAATAGAAAAACAATAATAAAAATACAGCAATCAAAGAAAATACAGCAATCTGTGTGGTATGGCCAAAGCTGAACTTAATTTATTACCATAAATACTTATATCATTATCATAAAAAATATTTATGAGGCTAGCATTATCCTAATTTCAAAACCATATAAAGACACTAAAAAGAAAGAGAATTACAGGGCAATATCCCTAATGAACATAGATAATAAAATCCTCAATGAAATATTATCAAATCAGTTCTGGCAATATATTAAAATGATCATATACCATGATCAAGTGGGATTTATTCCAGGGGTGCAAGGCTATAATATTCACAAATCAATAAACATGATACATCACATAAATTGAAAGACAAAAATCACATGATCAGATCAATAGACACAGAAAAAGTATTTGACAAAATTCAAAACCTATTTTGGATAAAAACTCTCAGCAAAGTGGAGCAGAGAGATCATACTCAACATAATAAAGGCCATATGTGACAAACCTACAGCCAATATCATATTCAATAGGAAAAACCTAAAACCATTTCCTCTAATACCAGGAACAATACAGGGATGTCCACTTTCACCACTCTTATTCAGTGTAGTACTAGAAGTCCTAGCCACGGTGACCAGAAAAGAAGAAATAAAGGCATCCAAATTGGAAAGGAGGAAGTAAAACTCTCATTATTCACAGATGACATGATATTGTACATAGAAAACCCTGAAGACTCCACCAAAAAAAACTACTAGATTTAATAAATGAATTCAGCACTGTAGCAGGATACAAAATTAACACCCAAAAATCAATGGCATTTTTATACACCAATAATGAATTCTCAGAAAAAGAAACTAAAAAAATCTCATTTATAATTGCAACAAAAATATTAAGATACTTAGGAGTAAACATAACCAAGGTGATAAACACCTGTACTTGGAAAACTACAGGATGTTGAAAAAAAGAGATAGGAGAAGACATAAACAAATGGAAGAATATATCGTGTTCATGGATTGGTAAAATCAACATCATTAAAATGTCCACACTACCCAATGCAATCCCTATTAAAATACCACCAGCATATTTTAGAGATATAGAACAAATACTCCAAAAATTTTATATGGAACCAAGAAAGACCCCAGAAAGCCACAGCAATCTTCAGAAGAACATAGTTAGAGGGATCATAAGACCAGATACCAAGTTATACTACAAAGCCACAATAAGCAAAAAGCCTTGTACTGGCACAAGAACAGGCATATAGACCAATGGAACAGAGCAGAGAAGCCAGAAATTGACCCAAACCATTACACTCCATTAATATTTGACAATGGAGGCAAGAGCATACAATGGAGTCAAGACAGTCTCTTTAATAAATGGTGTTGGGAAAATTGGACAGATACATGCAAAAAAAATAAAAACTAGACCACCAACTTACACCATACACAAAAATAAACTCAAAATGGTTAAAGGACTTAAATATAAGTCAAGAAACCATAAAAATCTTAGAAGAAAACAGGCAGCAAAATCCCAGACAGCTCTCATAGCAATATGGTTGCTAATACATCTCCTAGAGCAAGGGAAACAAAGGAGAAAATAAACAAATGGGACTATATCAAAATAAAAAGCTTCTTCACAGTAAAAGGAAACCATCAACAAAATGAAAAGGGAGCCCACTGTATGGAAGAACATATTTGGCAATGATACATCTAATAAGGTGTTAATATCCAAAATATGTAATGAACTCATACAACTTAACTAAAGGAAAATAAACAATCCAATTTAAAAATGGCCAAAGAACCTAAATAGACACTTTTCTAAAGTGGATATACAGAAGGCCAAGAGACATATGAAAAAATGGTCAAAGTCACTAATCATATGAGAGATGCAAATCAAAATGACAATGAGGAATCACCTCACATCTGTCAGAATGACTACCATCAACAAATGACAAGTGCTGGTGAGGATATGGAGAAAAGGGAACCCCAGTACACTGCTGGTGAGAATGCAGATTGCTGCAGCCATTGTGGAAAACAGTATGGAGTTTCCTCAAAAAAACTAAATATGGAACTTCCATTTGACCCAGTGATCCCACTTCTAGGAATATATCCTAAAAAACCTGAAACATCAATCAGAAAGAATGCATGCACCCCTATGTTCATAGCAGTGCAATTTACAATAGCTAAGATCTAGAAACTGCCCAAGTGCCCATCAGTAGATGAATGGATAAAAAAAACTGTGGTACATTTATACTGTGGAGTATTATGCAGCAGTAAAAAAGAAGAATCTCTTACCCTTTGAGACTGCATGGAGGGACCTAGAGAGTATTATGCTAAGTGAAATAAGTCAGTCAAAGGAAGATAAGTGTCCCATGATCTCACTTATATGTGGAATCTAAAGAACAAAATAAACTGATGAACAAAATAGATTCAGAGACATAGAAACATGGAACAGACTGATGAATCTCAGAGGGAAGGCAGGGGTGGGTGGGTGGGTGGGAAGAAATTAACCAAATAAGTTATATACATAACCCATGGACACAGACAATAGTGTGGTGAAGGTATGGGTGGGCTAGAAGGGTTCAATGGGAAAAAAAGGGTACATCTGTATAACTTTCAACAGTAAAGATAAAAAATACAACTACCCTATGATACAGCAATTTCACTTCTGGGTATTTATCTGGGTGTGAATGGTTACTAGGTATTATGCTGACAAACCTTGGACTATGAGGATGGCCCCAAAGTGATATGGTCCTGCCTGTCATATCTAATGACTTCTGGTTGGAATAAAATTTGGAAATAATAGATGGATCTTAAAAAAGCAAGGCATGTTAATATATAGATCAGTTAACCACTACAGAATGGTAGAAGAACTAAGGTGCAGGCAATCTCTCACAGATATGCCAATAAAGTGTACCAGAGCAAATAATAGGAGAATGGCAATGACTACAGGATTTCAGACAACAGGGTAGAGCTTTCTATGAGCCATGTAACCTCCTGAACACCAAGAATTGAGAACAAGTAAAATAAATGATCCGGTGAGAGATTTTCTAAGGCAACAAATCCTAATAAAGTAGGCTAAATTTCCCCCTTTGCTCCCTTCCTTCTATCCTTGCTTATTCTGTTCAGAGTAGCTAGCTCCATTTAACATTCATAATCAGAAAGGTCCCAACAGGACCCATTCTCTATCCCTCTCACAACTACAGCCCCCTTCTACACACACCAGTTCCTTTCTTAGCTACTGGTTTTGTTCAAGTATTCACAGTCTGACCCGGAAAGATTAATTTATCTCCAGTTTTAGGTTTAGATTTAGTTCACATCTATTCCAGTCACAGAGAAAGGAGAGGAACAACAGGCAAATTTGACACATTTGTGGTCTTGCTAAGCGGCTTACTGAGAAAGGTTTCTATTGTCTTCCCAATGTAAGCCCCAAAATAAAAATAAGAATCGATGTCCTTTATGAAGTTATAACAATTTATATTTTCTTATTTAGAAAATAAAAGTATCTCTTTTTATGTCTTCCATTCTTGCAGCCCACCTTTCTCAGGCCCAGATCCTATGAAAACCTATAACATCATATTGAGAGGGATTGACATGATAGAATTTCCAAAGAAGATTGCCAAAAATGCTGCTAATTTAATTAAAAAACTATGCAGGTAAGCATTTCAACCACATTAATTTTGAAAGGCCGGTAATGTGAAAAAAATAGATTTCTTACCACAATTATTTTTTTTTTAGGGACAATCCATCAGAAAGACTAGGGAATTTGAAAAATGGAGTGAAAGACATTCAAAAGCACAAGTAAGTATTCTCTCCTTGTAATTTAAGTTTAAAAAACCTGACAAGTACTTCCCCAGTCTGTTTTTTATTTTGTTTTTTAAGTTAGTGGTTGTATAACTTATATAGTTAGCCAGAGGAAATGTATATTTTAATTCAAGGATTCCATTTCCTACCAAAATACTTAAAAAAAGTCTTCCATCATATCATGCCCATATTTCCTTGATTAAAAACAAAATATTTTTCCAACTAGTTCCTAATTCGATAATAAGACAAAGAAAAACAAGTACAAAATATAGTCTTTAAAAAAGTAGAGTATCTTAAATATCAGACCTTATGCATGGTGCTGGATGTTCTAGAGTTAACCTCAGACAAACCTGTTTTTTTTTTCTCTATTCATCTGTTTCTATAATACTTACAGGAAATTCACATCCCTACCAGAGTAACTTATATACTGCAATATCTGTGAATATCTAAAAGGTCTGCTAAGAGTTTGGTGTAAGCATTTGCTAATGGAGAACTTTTTCAAAAAGACAAAAAACACAACAACAACCAACAACAACCAATCTAACAAACAAACAAAAACCCTTTGTGTTATTTGGTCCACATTTTCACAGAAAAGCTGTCCACAAAATATCTTCACTGTGTTAAAAAAGAAAAAAAGAAGAAAATGAGATGAGAAAGGTTAATTAACTGAGGCTCCCTAATGAATCAGTGACAAAGATGGAAAGATAATGTTCTGTCCTGACTTTTCATGCCTGATTCTGCTTGCTTAAAATAAAATATTCAGTAAGACACAGGGCCAAACATGTTATGACATTTTTAAAGTATAATGATAGTATAGGAACAAGGTCGTACAGACATTATGACTGAAATTACTA